TCAATTGAGAACACGTTAACACGAACAGCCCCACCCTTCTTAATCTCATCTGCCTCGACTACCTGCCTCAGTTTTTTTGTTTTTTTTTCTTGTTTCTCGCCAGAATCTTGCACTCGGAAAACAACGGCACACGCTTGCAGCTTTGGCAATGATCAATTATTCTCAAAGCTGCAAGAGTGCGCCGTTGTTTTTCGAGTGCAAGATTCTGGCGAGGCACAAGGAAAAAATTGTGAGAGAGATAGTCGAGGCAGGTTGGATTAAGATGAGTCGGGCAGCATGTGTCAGCTTGAACTCAATTGATCTACTTAAAAAGGAACCTGCCTTCCTCAATGACGCGGCCTGGCATCGGGTTGGCTGGTGACGGGGTGATATCAGAAACACGGATGGAATATAAGTGACGTTTCATGTAGGTAATAAAACCAGTTGTCACTAGCGCACTGTGGTGTCTGATTCTCGTCTTTGTGTCCTTATGTTTTGAGCGCTAAAATGTGTTCCAAGCCCCTAAATATAGTCATTGTATTAAGCGCTTTCCTGATCACGTGAAACCTTTAGGTGTTTTTATTTTGCTCATAACATGTTTCGGAATGAGCATATTGAACACGTTCGTAGTGACCTTTCCAAAACAGTAGCCGTATTAAGTAAACATTGAAAACATGGTCTGTCAAATATAAGCTCCAAATTTCCAAATCGCTGATTTACCCTAACTTATGCCATGCGCATATAGTTTGGTTATCATCGGAATTAGTTAATTTAAATAAAACAAAAGTGTTCGTTTTTCCCAGCATTTACGCTATCTTATAAGTAACCAGGGTATCAAATATATGTTCCCAATGATTATTAGCATGTACCAATAACTCCTAAAGCGTTAAGTTTCAGAGTGCGCTAAACCATACAGTCATTTTTTTTTTTTGCAGAATTTGGTACATCAAATTCGTCATATACATTTATCATAGCACTCAACCGAGCACTAACTTCAGGAGTCAGAGTTAACTCTCTTAACTATTAAATATCTGAACTATTAAACATATAAATATATGAACTATTAGACTTATAAATATGTGAACCTACTCAATCATCTTGCATCCCTAGAAATTTATATCACCTCACTAAGTAAAACTGCCTTACTTAACATTGCGTAAAGGGGTACATCATCTGTATTACCTATGTTTTTTTTTATTATTATTGATGTTATTTCTATTTAGTGTCATGTTTTTGTTTTTTGCCTTGGTACCAAGGGCAGGCCAAGCTGAATAGCAGTAGCTGCTTTCGTCGGTAACGCTATCGCTAATTATTAAAATAAACCATGAGTCATATAAGGACCGTTTGAGAGTCAAACCTCTGGTATTGCCTCATGTAAATAAAATCATTGGTATTATTATGAAAGTGAGAGAAGTCTTATGTATTTATATACATACAAACTTTCTGGGCTTCTTATGGCATTAGAGCCGGAGGAGGGATGGTACGAATAATTAAACATGAGAACAGTGAATGTGACACAGTAAATACCGCGGCAACAAGTTACAGTCTCTTGAGTACGAACAGAAATTATATGTGACGTTGCGTTGCAGTTTAATTCTTGAAGGCTTAATCTAGTTTCTGAGGAAGTGCGGTGTCATCATGTAGCATACCTTCATGAGTAGTTTCTGATTATGGAAAATCTTGAAATGTTTACTCTGGGCTTGTCTTTCCCCTTTAAAACACTTCGACGCGAGTTGGGGATAAGTAAGACAAATCCAGCACTCTGATGTTGTATTACTTCCGTCTTGTCAATTAGCTTTCAGAGCCCATGTCGTGATATTATTAGGGCATGTTGCTTCAGAACGGATGTCCCCAAAACAATATGGCTAGGCCCCGATTAAGAACCTGTTGCAGTCTCCAGGCGCGGAAAAAAATGGCAGTATAAATGAGGACAAACTAAATAAACAAGTGTAAAAAAGCATTTGAACAAAGAAATTTAATCTAGAGTAATAAGTCAAAAGAAACGTAAAGTGAATTATTACGTATATATTATTTGTAAATGTAGAATGTCGCTAATTACGACATTATGAAAATATTGCGACCAGAGAATTCACCAGGCATGAATCAAAGTTCATGTGAAATTTGAACTATTCAAATAGGGCACAATACTAATAGGAGTGGTACATCAAATGACGTCAATATGGAAGACTTATCACAGAGGACTCTAGGCACAATATAAATGAGTACGGAAGGAAATTATGCCATAGGTACACAGACAACTTCAAATAATAATGCAGTAATGATGCTGTGGGCAATGTATTCAATACATAATATGACATAACAAACCGCGCTTTGGTGCATTTTTCACTTCTTTCTAATAGCTTTGTTTTTTGCGACCTTCGAAAGCGCCGTGGCGCCGTTTTTGTGTATTTTTTTCATGTGCGAGTATTTTTGTTTAGCTGCAGGAAGTAGGTTGGGCGTCGCTGAAAGACAGTGGCCATCCCCGGATTGGCAGGAACGCCCCCGCGGGCGCATGTGGACCGGGGGCCTGGTTTTCGAGACCACTACTTTAGAACTTCTGTTTTCTTAAGATGCTACCGGACTTTCCTTACTTGTAAAGCAATTCGAGTTATTTCCGTCCAAATTCGGTGAAAACGAAGTTATAAAAGTCAATTTTAAATATCGAGATTTTTCATCAACACAAACATTTTTGTAAGGTCTAAAGTAGGTATGGTACACGGTATCTCGCTGTCCTGCTGTAAAATGTACATGTATTAAAGAAAGATATAGGAAACTTTAATTTATTATCCGATCACACGCGATTCACTGTAAGAGAGGTAGGTGCCTTCAACAGTTCGTTGCCATTGAGATAATGAAGGGGTACGGCTACAAGAGAGCGAAGGACACTTCGGAAGATTTCTATATTTTCCGTTGGGAGCAGGACGCACAGATTTGCTAATAATTGCAATATAAAAATTCGAGACAACGTTTCTGGGTCAGTGTGAAGCGAAAATTTTATAATATTGGTGAAGCGGGTTTGCGGCTTCGCTATAATTTTTGTATTGAAATTTAGTATTTACCAGCACGTCGTTTGTTCATTTCTTCTACTCGTGTGAAATCATTTTGTGATCATTTTATTTAGTGGGATTTCCAATGGTCCGTGTGTATGATGCCTTAGAGACGCTCCCGAAGGAGACCAAGCGCTGAACTTTTGTTTATCTTTGCACATAATGTCAGGAAACAGCAGGCACATGTCTGAACCTGTTTAAAAATGCGTGGCTGCCGCCCGACGTGCTACGCGAGTTTAAAGGTATGCCCTTTCGAGTCTCTTGCGAGCCGGCAAGATTTCAATGAAAGAACAACCTCATTGTCCGCATATTAAGTCGACTGACTTTCCTTTGTTGTCTCGATGTTGTCATTAATGTTTATTTTACAACTGAAGGTCATCTTGTCGGTTCTAAAACGTTCTGTCTTGTAACTCGGGTGTGGGCGTATTGCAGATCCTCAAAAAGTTTAATTTTTCATCTACCCAAGTCAAGGTTTTTTGGATTACATTTTTCAATTATAAGGAAGCGCCCCGCGTAGTGCAAGCGTTAGATCACTTCTTACATCTTGCAAGCTCCTTAGAAGTTTTTGAGATTGTGCTCCTGTTTCCGTCCTTTTATTTGTGGCTTTGCACATATCGTGTATTCAAACTCTCATTTCTTTCTATACGCCCCACACAAATATATAACCAATTTCAAATCAGCAATATTTTTGACAATATTTGCAATGCTTTAAGTTCAAATCAGGCACTTTATCACTAAGTGGACACCGTACTAACTGAACTTCACGCAGAAGTAGGTGAACCTTTTTGCGTGGACTGCTGCTGCTATGACATCCATCAATCTATGAACCTCACATTTTCACCTACGCGAACCGCAGCCTAACGATTCAAACAACACTGTAACAGAACCCGAGTGCTCCGCAATCGCATGGGTTGGCAGCATATACAGTTTACAAACGCAATTAAGGTCTGAATCGTATCGATTCAAACCTTACTTGTATGTTCTTTTTCGCGGTCATCACCAATCATCACTGCCATTGTTGGCTAGGTTCCTCAACTAACTTTCCAGAATGACTGGGAATTTGCATTCTAGGTTTTGAAATAAAAGATTCCAACGTCATTTGCAGAAACAAAATAAGACGCGCTTCAATGCCAAAACTCTGACACACTCCCTTCTTGTTGAGCTTCGGCATAGACGCCAGTGACGACAGCCCCACTTTCATTTTTTGCCTAACAGAAGCGTCTCTATACTTCGCGCAAACGAAAAGTTCTCGGAACGTTAGACTCATTAATCACCCCAATGGAACAAATCGAGACTCTCCGTTACGCCAAATAACACGCAACTTCGCCTTCATCAACGACCTCGTTCACAACAGCAGTTACGTTGGTGAAAAAAGAACGTTTAGTTGTTTCCTCAAAAATATTACTAATCACCGTTTTAGTAGTGTTCTGTGAAAATATAAAAGCGTGTTACCTTAGCAATCGCAAGATTTATGCTTTCACCCGGTTCCAATATTTTTAGCCCCGCGTGCGCCGTAGGTGCACATCTGTGTGCGCCGCTCTGTTGGCTTCACTAGCAAGACAAGACTTTTCCCGATGCATGACATGAGCACTTAATGACTTTACATTGTGCCAAGAGCAGTCTACATTGAATGGTTACGTCTCTCCTGTAAATATTTTTTTTTCAAATTTTGATGAATAATGTGCACTATCAACGACGTGCATATTACTAAATCGATGTGCGATACGTTAGTAACATATTGTTTGCGGTCTGTTAAAATGGGATCGGGTCCAATGGGATGAAGTTGTATACTACAAGGTGCTACGATAAGAAGTAAAATTTCCCTAAGCGAAACCAGATATAACTAGCTCTCATGTCATTTTTGGTATCGCAGTCAAACATCTGCAGTAAATGAATTGTTAGTGGTGGACTACATTTCAGTTTGACGGACTTTTCTGAAAGGCGCGTTTTTATTAACTTAAAATTGTATCTTACCACTTCCACAGTCCCATTCTTCTCGATCATTTGAACTGCTGCCATTATCTTTTTGTCATGGTACAAATTTTGGTCAAGTACTTTTCCATTCATCTGAAGAAGACCAATGAATAAACTGGGATATGTTTCAAGAAAATAAATTGAGCAACGAGCATTTACTTCTTTTCCACAACGAATTCCAAGAAACATTTCCGCCAAGTTCACATTGTTCAATGTTCTTTGAAAATTTACCGATGAGACTATCACACGTTCCAGAGCAACAATCACAAATGTAGAAAGGTGCAGATCACGCCTCCAGCACTTCGCTTGTCACTTTGTTTCTCTGTCGTACCAAGATGTTGGTGGCACTACAAAACGGCTCGCACAGGCACTCTTTGCACTGAACCGATAGGTGTCCTCCCACTATCGCTCCGAGGAAATACCTGTCTTCGCGTGGCCTTTCATTCAGGCAACGTCCCGTTTGTTCCACGTAGGTGCGGCCGCACGAGGGGTGAATACTGCAGACTACTCCCGTGACACATGGGACGAACGGCCTGACGTGCATCTTACTACACTTGTTCCTTGCAATTCGAAGGCAGAGGGAATCGCAAGGAAACAGTGTAGTAAGAAGCACATAAGGACGTTCGTTCCATGTGTCACGGGAGTAGTATACGAATCTCACTCTCGTGCGGTCGCACCTACCAGGAACAAACGAGGCGTTGCCTGAATGAAAGTTTTCGCGAACAACGGTACTCCCTCGGAGGCGACAGTGGGAGGACACCTATCAGTTCACCGCAAAGAGTGCCTGTGTGAGCCGTGTTTTAGTGCCACCACCATCTTGGAACGACACAGGGACAAAGTGACACGCGAGGTGCTACAGGCCTTCCGCATCCAGAGTAGAGGAGAAATGGGTAGCAGCCAAGCATCAGTGGCGTTGTCTGGCAAGGAGCTGGAATTCCTGAAGTTGACAATGACGGCCCAGCGCGTACCGTAGTCAGCTACCATGAATGAAAGGTCCGCGTGCGATTGCGTGGAGTAACGTGTGTTTTTTAGAGCGCAGCTCTTAGGCGCCCGTTTCCGGCTTGAGCGGCGCCGCCGTCGGCCTCGCGGTCGCTGTCGGCGTAACCGCGGCGACGTTTCAGCATGGTGACGTTTCGGCAACGTGCCGAAACGTCCTCGTGACCCCCTCAGGGGGGTCCTGAGGGGGTCACGTGACTTCCGGGGAATCCTGGGGGGAGGGGGTTACGTGACATCAAGGGGGTCACATGACTCCCCCTCAGGTCACGGGGTCACGTGACCTGAGGTCATGTGACCACCATGACGTCACGGGGTCATGTGACCTTACGGGGGCCACGTGGCCCCCGTGGCCGAGTAGCAGGCAGGATGATAAGGTGAGGAGGAGGGAGGAGGGGTATACCCCCCCTCAGTAGCCTTCCATCCTCGTCCTTAGGAGCTGCGCTCTAATTCGGCGTTACGGGGAGATGTAAACGGCGTTCATTTTTTCTTTCCCTTTATTTTTTTTTCTTTATTTTTCTTTTTTTTTTTTTGTAAAGACGTTTTCGTTGCGAGTCAGCGCTCTGTCCTGTCTGGTTTGTCTCTTCCTTTTTGTATCTTTGCGCGGTTTGATTCCTTTTTGTACAACCATGACCAACTAGCCCAGCTATCAACCCTATTACTGTGAACGTGAATTGCAGCATTGACGGCAGACACGTTTCAATGATAGAATGCCGCGTTTCAATTTTCACTAAAGTTTATTTTATTCTGACTCCATATGTATAAAATTTAATGGCTTTTCTTGGCAGTACCTATCTCTAGGCATGCTTATAGTTGTAAATTGGTTGAGTAGTGCATTTCACAGGGTTCTGTGCAAACTATGGGGCGACTGAAATATTGGAATCTTACCAGAGTAACGACTGGTTTGCCGCTACTGCTATCCGTTAGGACAAAATTTTCTGACAGCACAGAAGTTTTTTCTAGCTGTAGGGTGAGTCCATCTTTAATATGCAGCACTTTTTCACCTTTCAGACCTCTTGATTCTAGAAGCTTGGGATAAGCGACTTCGAATTCTGGAAATGCTTCTGTAAGTACAACAAACAAATGTTAGCTCAATAACTTAATTTTGAACCCATTCATCCCTTGACGAGAAATCGACGCCACGTTAATATTCTCAATAATAAAAAAACGCCAGGTGTGTGAATAATATAATTTTATCTGGAATCAAATTTGAATCGGATAGTGTAAAAATCCGTCGAAAGCGTTAGATGTAGAATTGAATATTTAATTCTAGTAGTCTTATTTTCAATGCGCAGGAACAACCTAGACGAAAGAAATGCTTAAGCGTACACTGAACAAAGAGCGGCTGAAAATGTCTCTACCAATCCACGCGTTGGTACACTACTTCCGCAGAGTGATGGATGAACAGACAGAGAGAGGGGAACCTCTGGACTCCGGATGACGTGTTTTTGAGGCTCGTAACTCGACACCGCTGGAAGCGGGGGTTTCAATAATCATTGCTGTTTTAAATATAGTAATTTATTTTCATTATATGGGCAAAACATATAGCTTGTGACTCAGATAGCTGGTAGAAGGTAAAATAAGGTACTTGAATTTCAAATGGTGACGTGCTTGCTTTCCGGGTCTTCGCTTGCTCATCTAAGACGCACTAGAGCGACTTCTTAGTTCGAGGAATGCAAGGGAAAAACTACTTTTTAAATAAATGTCTGGTCATCAGTCAGAACAGCTCAATGCGGCCTTGATTTACAACCAGGAAACACTAGCGAGGACTGTGTCAGGTTATAAACAGCATTCTTGAACTAAGCCGTTTTTTGTTTAGCATAATTTTACTTGCATTTGTTGGGGGGGAGGGGGGGGGGGGCGGAGGAGGGGAATTCGAATAAAAGAGTGCGAATATCGAATCGACTATTCGCGCAGTCACTCTTTGATACAAATTCTAAACTCAAATATTCGTACACCCTAAAAATTAAAAATGTTTTAACTGAATTTATAACGATCTAAGGAGGTTTCAAAACGCATCTTGAAAAACAAATATTATGCCGCTGGTAGAAATCAAACATTCTCATTCTAAATTATATCAATACCTTATATACCATTGTTCAGGTGACCGTGTTTTAAGATGTAAACTTAAAATTAACACAAACAAATATATAAACTAAAACAAGTGCTGCAAAAAGATAAGGTGGGTAGCATACTTGGGGAGTATTCAATTACAGTAATTTGATTACTGTAATTTAATCACTTTTCCTGGTCATTTTTAATTGTAATTAAGTACTTTTAGCTAAAAGGAATTGTAATTCTAATTTAGTTACTTTCTAGTGTCAGTAATTGCAAAATTTCAGGCACAATTACAATTACTTTGCAAGATTTTGCGGTGCCGGCGCTCTTCCTCCCCTGACTACGGGGACGGCAGTACAGCCAAAGCGACAGATGAGAGAGTATACCCCAACCTGCTCAAAAGGAGGGAAAGGAGGAATATGCAAGAGGGGCTGGGATAGAACGGAATGAACGTTTTTGGAAACTGTAAAACGATTTAATGAAAAATTTCAGAAATAATTTGATAAATGAGGGCGACATTCAGGTCGGTTTTCGTTTGGATAGCAGTTGAAATGTGTCTTTCGTCTAGTTCGCTTCTTGTTGCTCGTGTTCCTAGGGGTCTCTTTTATTTTTTTATTTTCATCAGGGGGCATCGGGGTTCGAAGTCGAGCTGGTTGGGCTCCGATCACTATCACATCATCCGGTCGAAACGGGAGGTTGAGGTTCTCCTTACGCGTCTTCGTCGCTAGCATATTCGCTTACATATTTCAGTCAAGGTTGGGGATTTTATTGTCCATGAAAGTGCTCTCTTTTCTTTATGAGTTCCTCACGTCCCTCTACTCTAGCTTGTCTGTTGACACCACTTACAGTTAGTTGTGCTACTCTAACATCGAGGCGAAGAAGCAGCAGGTCTCGTTAACACGACTCACCCCACCTTACTTCCAACAGTTGTTGCTACACTGCTTTTCCCTCCCCCAATCCTCGTCCACCTTTCTGTACAAAATTTCATTATTTGCTGTCTGCTCCAACCCATAACCCTTTCAACCGTTTCTCAACCCGATCGGACGAGATTCTAAAACTTCACAAACCGCGGTTTTAGACTGTCAAGAGCTTGTTTAAAAATAAAATATAAATATAATCAAAAATTATTTTTTTATTTTTTTAGAATATAAGAATGCAGGAGTTCATTACTCCAAACTGTCAAGTTCTGTAATTCATTTAACAAATTTAGAAAAAAAGATACAATACAAGACATTTATACAGCGGCCAACTCGTTTAAAGATACATGGCCCAAGGTGAGTAGCTCTCAGAAATAAGTAATTGTAAAGTAATTGCATTACTTTTAAAAGTAATTTGTAATTGTAGCGAATTACTTTCGCGTAGTAGTAATTTTAATTGTAGTTAGTTCTGGCATATTAACTGAGCAAATCGTGCAACAACTTTTTTTAAGTATAAGAGTCACCCACTTGTTATTCGTTTCAGGGCATCTGTTACTTGCGATGGTAAACATTTTTTTATCAAAAATGAAATGCATTTTTTTACACTTTTCTGCATACAGTGTTCACCGAATGTGACTGAGAATTATTTTCAAAAGTATCAGAGCTCTTGAAACTGACGGCTATTTTTCTCTCCAGTTGAGCTCAGTAGAAATATTACTCACTTTAAATGTACGCAATTGTGCGCACTGTCTTTGTTTCCTAAAACAAATAGTTAGCCGCCGCGGGTGTCGTCAGGGAATCAGTGAAAAGCCATAATTATGGGTTTTATTTTATATAACTCACAAATCAGGTTTTATTTTAACTGTTGTCACCTTCGAATTCTCACATTCCAAAAAAGCTGATGCCAAAACAGGCCAACTGTTGTTTTTAGATTTAAGAAAATAGCTTAATTACGCTTCGCTCCACTCAGAAAGAAACTGAGCTTTTCCTACAAGGAAAAGGAGAAGTCGTTCTGGGAATAAGCCGAAACAAAGAAAAATCACATATATTATGCGCAAGAAATCTTTGAGTCGCATGTTCTCCGCAAGCACAAGATATTTGGACAGTCGGTTTTTTCTTCTTTTTTTTTCGCGCTTTTCGCAGTGAGTTTTCATACAAGGTGCTGGACTGTCTAAGGCACAAAGGAAGTAGCGCGATATACTATTTTCGCGATAATCTGCCTGCTGGATTTACTACACGCTACCAATTTTATATCGGAAAATATCACCAAGAATGAATATATCAAAACTTCGTAAATTTTGTTTGCTAATATTGCCAATTATCGTGAAAAATTTGTACACTTCTATCTAATGCGCGAGAAAACATCATGCACCACAAATCAAGTTAATTTGTATCAAGCGTGTCATATTTAATAAACATTTTCAATAAAAAAAACCTCAACATAGGTTTAAATATAAAATCTATGATCGATTACTGACCCGGGTTTAAAATTACTACTTTTAAAGATAAATAACGTTCTTAATTTATGTTTTCAGAGTTTCAAACCTCTTGTAGTACATTTTTTAAACGGTGTAGTGTTCAATGCAAGATTACATATTCAAATAGCTACAAATCACCAAAGGTTGGCAATTTCATCAACACCGAATATGTACGACATTGGAAGGATTAAAGAGCACCGGTGTGTCACCTCGTTGGCTATGTATCCTGTCTTCCGACGTGGACACTTACCAGCATAGACGACATACAGAAGCATGCCAGATAATACAAACACCCTAGAGTACCCCAACATTCTGGACAAATTGCAGGCTGAATTGCAACCAGTGGGCTTTATACTGGCTCCTATGCTCTTTACCACTAACCTCTGCTTTATATTGTTTTTGATATGATGGGCATTACGTCCGTAAGGAACTTATAATAAAATAAAAAGCGACAGCATTTATCCTCAGTTGTGATTATCCCTCGACCTTTCATTCGGCTGCACAATGACATTTTAGGGAAATTGAATGACGTTAGTTTACGCACATGTTGCGACGTAGGTTGAGTAGTTCGTAAGTGAAAGGTCACTTAGAATGTGAAAGTGCCACTGAATTCAAGCCTGCCAACTTCCTTCACAGTAAAAAAGTAGTCCTATTTAACCGCAGAATGTGTGAATCTTCGATAATATTTTAATTATTACAACGTATTTTGCGAATATTCAATATTCCCAATATGTAAGTCAACTAAAATAGTTGCTTCAGAACACACGTTTTTCATCCAAGCACGTGAGTGTTGTGTTTGAAATGAAAATGTCGTTCTATTGCACCGACGATTCGTATGTTGATGACTTTCATATTCTAGCCGGATCTTTAATGGCGCAGCACACAGAAAATCCTACGCGGAGCTATGAAGTGAGATGGACACAGGTAACATTGATCTGCCATTTTATTCGTAATTGCTACGTAATAAAGTGTAGGAAGAACTAGAGTGACTTTATGTTTCAATGTAAAGAGTACAATACATTCTCTATTTCAAAAAGTGAGATCAATTTACCTAATTATTTTACGTCTAGCGCAGTTCTCTCGACCACACTTTGTTTATTGTCTCGCAAATTAGAGTCCTACAAACTCAATGGATATAGGTTTAACCAAACTTGATATTCCTTTACACAAAAGTTGTTCTCGCAAGTTCATACTCATAGCTCTATCAGACTCGAGCCAAAGGCGCACGATAACCACAAGCAGGCTAACCTGCGACATGGTTGATTCAATAGCGTTTACAGCAATTTAAAAGCTTCTTATTTTCATATAACAATATTTCAGTTATTATTGTTAAATATATATATATATATATATATATATATATATTATACGGCCTAGGCTGGCTAAAACATTTGCGTTTGAGCCCGACCGACTTCGTTACATCTGATAATTTGGTTACCACGACGCGGTTGTTATGGTTCTATTTAATTTCAAATCATACACGTTAAAAAAAAGACTTTGCTGGAAAGCTTCTGAAAAAAATCTGTTTACTCCTACAGTTGTTCATTTTTTTTTACTCGTATTGAACCAAAGGCGGATTTTGGAATTTAGGCAATCGTCACAGGACACATACTTTTGATCCTGGCCTGATTGAGATATTTGCTGTATTACAAAGAAACTTTTACATGGTTTTCTGTACAAAATTAAACGCGCGAATGCTCTTAAATTTGTACTTTGGTTTTAACTTTTTTACTTTTATCTTGAATTTTCTTATGCCGATAGGGATGACAATGACCAACTGGGATATCATTTATAGAGAGTTACAAGAAGAAAATGGTTTTGTTAGTTACAAGCATAATTTATGAAACAATTGCGTTTTTCAGATTATCAGTAAATACTAAAATGCGGCTTATGTTACTGGTCATCAGGGTTTGCAACAAAAAGGCGAACCAAGATTAATGCACTGAAATATTCAGTCGTCTAAACAACTCATACGAAAAAACCTGCAAAAATAAATTTATTTTTTTACAAAATTAATGACAAATATTATATATTTTTAGGGTAAGGGCCCTCGTGTGAGGGCATTACAAAATTACGGGAAAAGTAAGAAATTATACAATAAAAGTTTGAAAACACAAACGATAAAAGAACAGCACAAACTACAGCGAAAAAAAAACCCAGAAAAATAGAAACACTGGAAACCTAATCAGCAGAGCGAAAATGGATCTTAAACCACAAGGTCAGTGAATAAAACTAGATTCTGAAAGACCATTCCAGTCCACAATTGTTAGCGGTATGGAAATGATTGTACAGTTTTCGGTGTCCTTTCAATGTTATAATGCTCACCTAAACGTGCTATAAATTTTCTGATGAAGTGGGTACGCTAGATTATTATGCTATATTTAGTTTAAATCGAACCAACTAAAATGGAGGAGGTGTGTGCGTTCACCTCAAAAAAGTCTGGAATGTCATGTCACTGGTGATTTTACTAAAACAACTAATTACTATGGGATTCTAACTTTGCAATTTGCAAAATCTGTATTTTCGGTTTTTTATGTCTTGCAAAATAGAAATATTTCTTACTTTTTCAGTTTCATTGGTGGAAATAACTTCTCTTTTTATTTTGGCGTCAACTTCAATACAGATATGATCACTTCTCTCCAAATCAACTTGACTTCATATCGCTCTATGAGTCATAACGTTATTTGACAACCTACTCGTATAAAACCAATGCACGAGGCTTTGCTGGTTCTATTTGTAACAAATGTTTCCACGACGAGATTATATTCTGGTCTGATCGGGAAAAGTATTAGCGACCATCTGCCAATTTTTGTGTTCGCTGGTGCAGGCGTAGACCCTAATACAACCATTCCTAATAATATTAATTTTAGAAAGAATAATGTCAAGAAGTTTGATATTTTCGAACAAGAAAAATAATTGTGAAAAATGAAGTGTGGTGGTGTGCAGCGTGTCAGCAGATGAGGCATTTATTTGTTTTCTTGAAAAGTTTAAAATACTCTACAGCGGATATGTTTGCCTACCAAAAATAACAGTTTCGCCCCAAGTCTCGCAAACCTTCGGTGATGCCGGAAATACGAAAATTTATAGTACTGATTTGTGCGGTCTAGAAATATTAACATCTTAGCTGCATTTTAAAAACAAGAAAATCAGTTGACGAAGGCATTAAGCCAAGATAAATTGTATATCTTAATAATATTTTTGTACGTAATAAAACATAAGATGTTACGTGCAAAAAAAATATTAGCGTATTCCACAAAGGAATGAAAAGAAAATTGTTATAACTAAAATTCAATATATTAAAGTGTATGGGAAGCTTTAGCAGAAACCTTTATGAGTATTTTGTTAAACCTGTTCAAGGTCTGCTCATTTCGAATGATTCAAGGTATGTGTTTAGTGTTTCTGACCGTTTAGCTCTTCCCATTGATGAGGATGAGGCCTTTTCCGTCTTTAATAAGCTAAAATATAATGCAAGTCTCGATGTATACAATATTCAGAATAAACTTATCAAGCATGTATTACGGACGATTGCCCTACTCTTGACCCGCATTATGAATTTTGCAATGAAAAACGGAACATTACGTAAAAACACAAGTTGTTAAAGTGACCGTGCTCTACAAGGCGGGCGATAAATTGATTTGGGTTCAATTTCTGCTCTGCCTGTATTCTTGAAAGGATTAGAAAAAATATGAAACAAAAATTCTATTATTTTTCTCATAAGTTTTCAATCATCACGTTCTGCCAATACGGATTTAAAAAGGGTCGCTCAAGGGAACTTTTCTCTGTTAAACAAAATGAAATCGTTTCACGTAGTATCAAACAAAACGTGATCACACTAGGACTTTTTATCGATTTCTCCAAAGTATTTGACCGCATAAATTTTGGCACATCATTACAACCAAAACTGTGTAAATGGTGTTCGCGGAGTTGCTTTAAAGTTGGTCAAAAGTTATCTACATGCCCGTCATCAGGGAGTAGAAATAAATAAAAATCTATATAATCTTAGTTCGATAACAGCTTGTGCGCCACAAAGTCGTATGTTAAGGTCTCTTCATTTTAATTTCTGTATTAGTGAACTTGTAGATATTTAGAATCGTATTAGCTATATAATATACAGATGATGATACTGGCTTTTGTTGTTGTTGTTGTTTTTGTTTTCTTTGCGGGAGATGGAAATAATAAATTATGGAGCGACGCAAATAGTTTTCTGACTTAGCTGGCTGTATGCGCTCTTTCAAATTCGCTGCATATAATTATGGGTAGAACTAAGGCCGTCATATTTAGATCGCGAAATAAACACTGCTATTAGACAAATATTTTGTCTCTTGGTACGTGAGCCATCAACTTTGTACATAACGTGAACAATGGGGTAATATTTAACCAGCATATGGTTTGGGACGAAGTGGCTCAATGTACATGTAGGAAACTTTCGATGGCACTTGGTGTCATGTGCAAAAATTTGATACATTATACCCATTACGGTTTTGACACTCATATACAACTCTCTTTCTTGCGTGGAATTTAATTGTTGCTTTCAGTGTGGTGTATTACAACCTCAACAAATATTAAAAAATGTATATCCTTTAAAAAGGAGCCATTCGTATTATGTCATGCTGCTCATGATGGTCACACTAGACCACTCCTTAATCAACTCGATATGGTACAAGTTCCTAACTGTTCCAGTTGTAAATTAACTCTTACATATAAGAAGCCTTTCAATCACAAGGACAATCTGCTCCTACTCATTTCCAACCTTTGTTTAGGCAAATGGTTTACAACACTCGCTGCATGAATACTTGGTTAGTGCCACACTCCAGAACATGTAATGGTGATCAAATGTTAAAATATACCTTCCCCGTCTTTTAAATTGTTGTACGGAACTGAATGTGAACATTCTATGTGAGGTTGTGAAATATTTGCTTTCTGCTTTTGTTGAAGATCTTTCTATTGATTTTTTCATATACTCAACTTGTAAATTTATTGTATTTGCATTTGTATTTTTGTTGTTCGCATTTTTTTTTTCTGCTGTTTGGGGGGGGGGGGGGCCGGGGGAAGCGGTAACTTGTCAAGCAACAGCATAGCGTTTTTTGTTTTTTTTTTGCGCCTTCTTGTTTCAAACTGGAGAAAAATAAGGAGTTTAGTTTGAGTCCAAGGGGTTACTCGAATCGGATATGCGTTGAACATTCAAGGAGTTATTGTGGCGACAAGATGGGATTAAGCAGAAATGAACTTTTAACGGGGGGATGAAATAATAAAGCATATGAAGTGTGGGAGATGAGGGTGGAAGACGGCGGAGAAGAGGGCACGTGAAAGG